TCTCTCTCTCTCTCTCTCTCTCTTTCTCTCTCTCTCTCTCTCTCTCTCCCCCCCTCTCTCCCTTTTACCATTTCTTGCTCTTATGCCCTCAATTCTCTTTCCTACTCTACTACTGATTCTCTCTCACTTTTTCTCTCTCTATCTCTCGTCATTCGACGGTCGCTTGATCCAGACTATATTTCAAGATAAAAAATTTTATCGGCTCTTGTTTTGTAAAACTGTACATGCATATGTATAAATTCGTTCCTAAATGTTATTATGTACGAATCTTTAGTTCGAAAAATATTGCAAAATTTTTTAGACTGATTTTGTTTCAACTTTAAAAAGATAACGACCGTTATCATTATTCTTTAAGTAAAGGTAATAGCAACTAATTATTATTTTACTCGAAAAGTAAGTAACGGAAAATGGGGGGGGATAAAAAATCATTCTTAAAAAGTAAAGTGTTGGCTCATTGAGAATGACACAAGAAGTGTCGAAACGACGTCATTTTGTATTGTTACGTCCAAGCCCCAGGATTTTTTATTGGATAGGAAAATTTAGGAATCGAAGAGGGGGCACGGGAGGACGCAACTGACACCGCTCTTGTGGCAGACGCTTTAAGACGCGTGCCACAAGTCGGAGACGCAATAAGGTCACAGATATGGGTCAACGTCAGCGTGCGACGCTATTACCCAGTCCTGCGACTGTGTCTCCGTCGGTCCCCTTTTAGATCAAGGAACTTAATCCTTTTGATCAGGGATCGGACCGTGCGACTTAGTGGGATGAGGAATGAGTCGAGGGAGGTTCTGAATAAATTACAGGAATAAACGTAAAACAAGATTTTTATTCTTAATGCATAGTTAACAATTTAAAAGTGAACTATTAATTAATCGAACTTAACATTTCTATAAATTATTTTAATATTCTTTTTTTGTTGACAAGATTTTTATTCTTAATGCATAGTTAACAATTTAAAAGTGAACTATTAATTAATCGAACTTAACATTTCTATGAATTATTTTAATATTTTTTAATTGTGAGATATGGCTTGTATATGAATGATGTGTCTGATGAGGAAAAGGGAGTGTAGAGGTATTCCTCTAAATCGAGGTATAACTCTAAATATTAATAAAATACTATAATATAAATACTATAATATAAATTTGTAATTAATTTATGAAGTCTTTAAAATTCCATAAACCTGTTACAGAATTGTATTAACATAAAAACAAACTTATCATGAATACTAATCTCTAAATTTGACAAAAAAAATGATATTACAAAATTGTAATATATTACTTTAAGTCCGATCTACAATTACGTAAACGTAATTGTAGTTATAAGAATTGATCAATTACAGTTGAATATGAGGAAAATATCCAATTGTGATTAAAGGACAACTACAATCATTTACAACTATTTTTACGCAATTATAGATTAAGCTTTATCCCATAAAAAACCTTTTTTTAAAAAAAGAAAAAAACATACGCCAAGTGCATATAAAAGATACTGAACTTCTTGATCAAAAACAGATATGAGATAAATATAATTGACCAAGTGTATTCTTCATTACGCCAGTCACATAAGACAGACTATTAGGGTGGCACTTAGGACCAAAATTTTTCTTGACGCCCCCCAAATCGACTCCAAAAAATTCAAAAAAAATCACTGAATTTTTGCAGATTTTTATCTTCACTCCTAATGGCCCCCCCAGAGCCCCGAAAATTAACATTGTTTTTACATAAGAAAAAAATTTTTTTCGGTATTTCTACTGGCATTTTTAACGCAGTTGGTCTAAAAATCTATCATGTGAGATATCTTTTCTTGGATGATTTCCTAGTGCAATAAGCCTAGTCCGATCAAAAACGATCCATTTTCGGCCGAGTTATTCCACTTTAAACTTTAATCATTTTTCACCCAAAAAATGAGAAGAACCTAAAATCTCTCAATAAAATTAAAATAGCTCTGTTAGAATGCATTCTAAAATTATGAACCATTGAATTTCGAATTCCTTATAAAGTTTTCCGATTAAAATGACCACCTTATAAGTTAAAAACGACAATTTTTAGCTGAGTAGTAGCATTTTTTATGAAGAAATTTTTTTTAGCTAAAATCTGGTAAAGGAAATAAATTTTTAGTTTATTCACTACAACTCGAAAAAAAAAATCCGACGATATTACACCATAGACGAACGTTTTACCCACCTTTTTCCGGTTTGAATTGCCTACTTATTGACCTAGGAAAAAAAATTCTGACATAGAAGAGGTCGTTCGATTTTTTTTTCTCTTAAACGCATGAAATCTAGAAACAGTTATTTTAATTTATTTTTATCGTTTAAGGCTCGCATATTTCTTTAACTGTAATAATTTTATTTTCTGTACCAGTTGGAGACTTTCTCATGATATTCCGTAAAACGCGAGTTGTATAAATCCATTTCATAGCGTGTTCCAAAAGCTCATTTGCTTCCCCCATAAGAATAACGTGCATTTTCATAAAAATTGCAAAAGAATTAATTTTTTATCACACATTATTTTTATTGTATGAAAAATTTTTTACTCGTAAGAATTTCTGTAGTAAATGTTGTACTTTCCAGAAAAAATGTTAGTTTCTCATTTATATGCTACTTTATTATAGTTATTTACATATTAAATTTGTTGTTAGTAGATTAATTGATTTTTCAATCGTTTGTCCGAGTTTGCGAACATAGTGGAACTCGCGTAATCTGCGAAATGAATATCATTGGTCTTTGCTTTTTTCCGCATTTTTCGCACTTTTAAACTCCTCTATGTCACATTGCGCGGAATAAGCGGAAGCGAAATTAGCGTCAGCCAATAACAACTCTACTTTAGCTAAAACTAAAAACAAATCTATCGGAAGGAAGCGGTCATTGGATACCGCAATTAACGTTTCCGCAAATTCCGCTTCATTGATATAGAGGAGTTTAAAAATGTGGAAGATGTGGAAAGAAACAAGGACCAATCACAAACGTTCCGCAGATTCCGCGAGTTCCGCAAAGTATGCCAAATACGCCCCATCTGACCGCGGCCTTACGTACAGTCCATACAGTCAATGTTTGCATGTATTGACTTCCGTCAGTTT